TCTCAAAAAGAAACTGAAATTCTTAATTAAAACATCGCATACCCTCTATGTTTACCTTTAAAATATTAAATCCCCATAAGTAATTTACAAAAAATTTAAAATGATTAGTATTTAGTACATACAATATCATATTCATCACTTGTAAGTCCTGAATGTACCACAAAAAGAAACTCAAAACTCTTACTTAAAACATCACTTCCCCCCTATGTTTACTTTTAAAATATTACGTCCCTCTAAGTATTTTTTTACAATATTTCAAACAATTAGTATTTGGTGTTTAAAATATCACATCCTCCCTGTGGAGTCTCTGCATATGTCACAAAAAGAAACTGAAATTCTTTCTTAAAATATCACATCCCCTTAATGTTTACCAGTAAAATATTACATCCCCCCCTTCCCAAGTAATTCTTACAATACTTCAAACGATTAGTATTTGGTATCTAGAATATAACATCCCTTTGGTTTATTCACAGTATATGTCACAAAAAAAAATAAAATTCTTACTTAAAATATCACATCCCCCCATGTACACTTCTAAATTATTAATTCCCCTTAAGTAATTAATACAATATTAAAAACAAATAATATCTGGTATTTAAAATATCACATCCCTTCTATGTTTACCTTTAAAATATTACATCCTCCTCAGGAAATGTTAACAATATTTCAATTGATTAGTATTTGATATCTAAAAATCACATCCCCTTGTTTATTCTCTCTATATGTCACAAAAAGAAACTGAAATTCTTACTTAAAATATCACATCATTCTAATGTATACTTCTAAAATATTACATCCCCCTAAATAATTCATAAAATATTTCTAACGATTGATACCAAGAATATCACATCCACCACTTGTAAATTCTGTATGTACCACAAAAAAAAACTGAAGTTCTTACTTAAAAATAATATTTTAACACTGTAATATTTTAAAGGTAAACACCTCTGTGTTTACCTTTAAAATATTACATCCCCGAAGTAATTCATACAATATTTCAAACAACTAGTATTTAGTGTTTAAAATATCAGATTCATCTATTGTAAATTCTGTATGTACCACAAAAAGAAACTTAATTTCTTACTTAAAAAATGACATCCCCTCTGTGTTTATCTTTAAAAGATTACATCCCACTATATATGTCACAAAAAAAAATTAATTTCTTACATTAAATATAACATCCCCTCTGTGTTTACCTTTAAAATGTTACACCCCCCTTAGTAATTTATAAAATATTTCAAACGACTAGTATTGGTATCTGAAATATCACATCCCCTCGGTTTATTCACTGTATATGTCACAAAAAGAAACTGAAATTCTTACTTAAAAAATCACATCCCCTCTGTGTTTACCTTTAAAATACTACATCCCCCGAAGTAATTCATACAATATTTCAAACGACTAGTAGTTGGTATCTAGAATATCACATACCTTCAATTGGTTCACTATATATGTCACAAAAAAATTTAATTTCTTACCTTAAATACAATATCCCCTCTGTGTTTACCTTTAAAATATTACATCCCTCTAAGTAATTTATAAAATATTTCAAACGACTAGTATTTGGTATCTTGAATATCACATTCCCTCAGTTTATTCACTGTATATGTCACAAAAAGAAACTGATGTTCTTACTTAAAATATTACATCCCCCCTATGTATACTACTAAAATATTACATCCCCCTAAGTAATTTATAAAGTATTTTAAACGAATATTATTTGGTATCTAGAATATAACATTCACCACTTGTTATTTCTGTATACGTCACAAAAAGAAACTGAAATTTTTACTTAAAATATCACGTCCCCCCTATGCAGGCTTCTAAAATATTGCAAACGATTGTTATTTTTATTACCTAAAGTATTATATCCCTCATGTGTAATCTTTTTTTTACTATTGTCACGCAATACATTACGATCAAAATTTTATAAATCTGAATTCAAAATATATTACCATTTTATGCTAACTTCATTTATAGTATGTTAGTAGAAAACGTTTTTATGAATCTTGTTGCGTTTTTATTATATTGATTATAATTGAATGTTTCGGACGTACTTGATACACTTCAAAGCGAAAGCGTAATCTCGTTTTCGTTTTTTCAATGGGGGATGTGATATTTTCAATAATATATTAAAATTATCCTTAATATATCATTGGATATTTTAGGCGGATGTAACATTTTATTACAGCACACACCATCATGATATGTTTGTTGTAACATATGAGGGTAATCAGAAAAGTTGCTGTAATCCATTTCTGAGCCAACAAAAGCTGTATAGAGGTAAAAATTTATATATTTATATTTCATTAGGTAATATCATTATTAATAAGTCATATAAGTTTTTTTGGTAATAAGATTTGTTCAATGTTTCATAGTTATTAACATAACAAATTGTATAGTATTATATTTACATAATATATATGATTAATGTTATTTAAGTAATGTAGTTACTTTCTTTTTAAGCATCTCTCCGTGTGATTTCAATGCATACTGTGTTAGAAGCAAAGACCATAGGTTTAAATCTTATAACTGGTAATAAACTGTGTCCAACCTGTCGAAGTAAAGTTATGACATGTTTATCAAAAAAGTATAAATGAAAATGATGAAGATTTTGATATTGTTAGTGAAAGATCCATTCAAAATAAAAAAGAAAGTGTAGATACACACTTTGCATCTGGCGGAGTATCTCCAATTAAGGTCAAAGGATTGCACAAGTCAGGTGAAATCAGAGAAGGTAAACGAAAATTGACAGCATTAACAACCTCCATTAAAAAAAAGTTAGCCATTTCCTATAATATATCAGAAGAAAGTTTTGAAGAACAGTCAAGTTTTAATAATGAGTATATGGAAAAAGCAAACTTGTTTGATAACATGATGGTATTGTTAACTAACAAAATTGCAGAGTCTACATCAACTTCAAAAAAAGTTCAACTTGCGACTCTTGCTCCAACACACTGTTTAATAAAAAGGTATCTGAAACACTGCATGTAACAAATTATGTAGCTCGAACTGTATGTAAGTTAACATTATTAAAAGGTTTTTTAACCATGCCTAATCCTAAATTAGGATAACCTCTTCCTGATGTAACAGTTTAACTGGTAAAGACCATTTACGAAGACGATGAACATAGCTGTATAATGCCTGGTAAAAAGGACTATGTAAGCATAAAGAAAATTGTCCACATGCAAAAACGTTGCTCTTATGTAATTAATAAAAATTGTTTGTTGGCTTTAAAACCAAGAACCCAGAAATTAAAATAGGATTTTCAAGGTTTTGCACCTTGCGACCTAAATGGTGTATTACTGTTGGTGCCTCAGGAACACATTCTGTATGGGTTTGTGCTAATTATCAGACTAACAGCTTTTACTTCCTCTTGGTGTGACATACAAAGAATTGTTAACTTATATTGTCTGTGATAAAAACTAATAAAGGCTGTATGATGAGGAAATGTGAAAAATGCCCAGCAACTATGAATACATTGGTTGAAGAACTTTATGATATACTTGGAAATTTTAAAGATGATGATGAGATTGAATTTAATCAATGGGCAACAACAGATAGGTCAAATATGACACATAATAAAGAGCCAGTGTTTGAATACATTGAACTAGTATGTAGAAAACTGAAAAAATTTGCACCACATTCGTATTTAGCAAAGAGTCAAGCATTATACCTGAGATCAAGAAAGGAAGATATGAATGAGGTTACAGCATTATTTCTGGGTGATTTTTTAGAAAACTATAAATTTGTAGTTCAGAATGAAGTGCAAAGCTTTCATTAAACAAATTTACAATGTACACTTCATCCAGCAATTATTTATTTCAGAAAAGAAGGCATTCTCAAGAACAAATCCTATTGTATTATTTCGGATGAAGTGATCCATGATGTAAAAAGGGTTTATAAAACTTTTGATGTTGTTTGCAATGATATAAAAACAAATTTGCCTCAAATAAAAAATATTGAATACTTTTCAGATAGGTGTGCAGGTCAATATAAGAATTGCAAAAATATGTTAAATCTTTGTTTCCATTGTGAAGATTTTGGTTTTCTTCTAAATGGAACTTTTTTGCAACTCGTCAGGTTAAGCAACCTTTGGAAATATCCAGATAACAACTGTAAACCTAGTACTAGGTGATTATGCCTGTGTGTTTTCTATGAGCAAAAGTGGTGGATAGGAGTCATTGAAAATAATAATTCAGAAGAAAAAGATGTGCTTGTAAAATTTATGTGTCCTAATGTTCCTGCACGGTCGTTTAAATAGCCACCAAAAAGAAACCCATTGCTGGATTCCTGATGTCCACATTATTTGCAAAGTTGAGGTTCCGATAACAAAAACAGGACTTTTCTACTATTTAGCCAAAGAGGACTTAAAAAAATTCTTTTCCTAAGGAAGTAGAGATTTTTATAATTATGAGTCTATTATGTCTTATCCATTCTTTTTTTAAATATTATGCTTTGTGAACTAACTTGTAAATAATGTGAATGCGAATATGAAATCACTAAATTTCAGTATTTAAAAAAAAAAATTATATACGTTAAAATTTTGTTGTAAATATCATATGAAAATGAAAAAGATAATAAAGTCACAAAATTTTTAGTTTCTAATTTGATTGACTGGTTAAATGTGGGGTTATATTAAGTGTCTACTTTAAAAAATATTAAAAAATTTTGTGTCTATATCAAACATCAATAATTCCTCAAGTAAATAAAAGGCCAAAACAAAATTGGTTCGAAAAGTAGGTGTTGATCTTATTTTTAAGAAAATCGAAATTTTATTTATATTAGTCAGATTTTTTTATAGATAAAATTGACAATGCCCTTTTTTCTCGGCGTTATAAAGTGTATTATATGGATCTTAAAAAAAGCTAAAATCCCTTGTTTTGACATATAAAAAACTATGTTTTTCGGATTTAACAGGTTTTTAACTCTTTTGGTACAAAGTTTTAGAATTATCCCAGTAAACACGCTTTAGTTGGCCCAACTGTCGGGCCAGTATTGGCTATAGTTGGTTAACAGTCGGCTAAACGTGCCAACCATTAACCGACTATTTACCGCTAGTTTTTGAAGATAGTTGGCTAACAGTTGGCTAACAGTAGGCTTAACGTGCCAACCATTAACCGACTATTTACCGCTAGTTTTTAAATTTCCCATCAGTAAATTTTATTTAAGGCTTTATTTAAAGTTCAGTAGCGTGGTCGAAGTTTATAGTGAGAAGCAATTTATCATTTAGTTTCTTTCAAACTCTTTTTGCTTTTTTTAATAAAACCGTTTAACTAAAACTCTCTTTTACCTTTAAGTGAAACAGTTACGTTGGTAAGTACAAACATTTTACATTTGTCCATTAATTACACATTCAGATATAATTCCTGAGATTTGTTAAAGTTTTAAAAAGTTAAAATACAGCTAAAAGTTAAATGTGTTCACGTGTTTTTTTCTGTACGCATATGTATATCATATATATATATATATATATCTATATATATATATATCTATATATCTATATATCTCTATATATCTCTATCTATCTCTCTCTCTCTCTCTCTCTCTCTCTCTCTCTCTCTCTCTCTCTATATATATATATATATATATATATATATATATATATATATATATATATATATATATATATATATATATATATATAAAAATTTATATACATACATACATATTATATGTATGTATGTATTATATATATGATATATATGATCATGTATGCATATGTATTTCATATGATATACATATGTATGCATGATATTTATATGTATACATGTTTTACATTATTAATTATATCAATAATATAGTTTATATTATTAATATAAATTATTATAATATATGTATATATGGTATATACATACTATGTATATATCATATATACATATATTATAATAATTTATATTATTAATATAACTTATAATGTAAAACATGCATACATATAAACAACAAAGTATAATAATATATAAATACATATAAGATACATATATATATATATATATATATATATATATTATATATATATATATATATATATATATATATATATATATATATATATATATATATATATATATATATATATATATATATAAACTATATATATAGGTATCTATATTTATAATAATAACAAACATAGTAATATAATAAATTTTTGTTACTATGTTAGTTATTAATAAGATACATATTTAAGAGTTTGATGGATATTTCCTAATTCTTCTCCTAAATATCACACCAACATTACACGAAGTTAGCAATATCTACTTTGGATAACAACAGTTTAAATGAGTATTTAATTTGCGTGCAATAGAATTGAATTCCACTCAATTGTGAATAAAAATTTGAAATTTAAGAAACTTTTAGTACTAGAATTCAAACAAAGACTTAAATCTACTAAAATTCTAAATCATAATGAAATAATATAAATTTATAAAAAACTAAATCCTAAAATCAAATACTTTATAGTGCTAACTTGTTTGCATGGTTTCTTATAAAAAAAAATTTACATTTACATTACACTTTATAAACAACAAGTTATATTGTATATAAAGTGTCATAGTTTATATTTTTAACTTATTTTATAATTATTATATATACAATATATATTATCTGTATATAGTAGTATATTGATATGCTTTAAATCATAAGCACTTATGTTTTTATTGAATTTGTATGGTTTGTTTAAGAGTTTTTATATTGAATTCTATAAAGCATTTAAATTTGAATGATTGCTTATCAATTCTACAAACATGTTAATGCTTTATAGAGTTGCATATAAAATTTCATACAAACTATACAAATTCTATAAAAACATAACTGCTTATATTTTAAAGTGAATAAAAACTAAAGCATGCATTATTTATTGATCCATGCTTTAGTTTCCAATCATATTTTATTTTCTTAGATAATGGAGAACAAAAAGTTAAAGTAAGTATTTCAAAATTATGTTTGATTATGATTGATAAAATTATATTTGACTATGATATATATATATATATATATATATATATATATATATATATATATATATATATATATATATATATATATATATATATATATATATATATATATATATATATATAAATTCATTTCATTTTTTTATATATCAAGGTCTTATCAAGTAGTTGAATTCCCTGCATTAAGGAAAAACCAGTTATCTTCGGTAGCTGTAGTGCCTAGAAACTGGATTCATTTAAAGGATGATCAATTTTTTTGCTTGTGGCCACATGGTTACTCTAAAAAACAAGTTGAGGGGTTTGTTAAAACCAAGTCATTTTTAAATAAAAACGATTGCAAAGAATACATCATCAATATTTTAGGACAATCTAGTATGTTTTTGTTTTAATTTTGTTCACATTTTACTTTTCAGATAATTGTTATGTGTAGTTTGTATTATTAACAATTACTACAAAATTTTATATAAAATAATTAATATATAGTTTATATTACATATTATTGTAACAGAATTTTTAAAATCTTTTTATGTTAGGGGAGATTCAAATAGTACGTGTTAAATTTAGGTTTATTGTTAGGGAAAATTTCACCAATATCGTGTACTATTTGCCTATTATTTTCACAAATATTGTGTGTTAACACCCCTTTTTTATAAGTTAACATAATTAAAGAAAAAATATTTCTGTTTTTTTTTTTTTTAATTTTTTAAATCATATAAGGTACGAAATATTCACTTATCTAAACATTTTTTACAATTTACTGTAAAACGTTTTTACATTGAATTTGTTTTCACAATGTCCTTTATTTTTTACAATAACAGTAACAATTATTTTCAGAGAGTTATGAAACTGCTTGTCATCTTGCTCAAACTCTTGAAGAAGAATCTGATGTAGCCTTAACTGATGGGACTTCTTCTGAATGGTATGTCTCTAAACTATATATATAAATTATTTTGTTTTTTATTTAAAATAATGAGTTTATATTTTTTAATATATGTTTATATATGTTTAATACCAGGTCTATCAAATCAAATCCTGGAAGGTGTTTAGAATCAAATTCTGTGCCTCCACCATTTCCTGGTGAATCTGATGACAAGAGAGATTCAACAGTTAATATTACTGGAGGTAAAAAATTTTTTTATTTTATTTAATATTTAATTTTTAATTTAGATCCTATTTTTATAATTGTATACATGTTTTGTTAGTTGCATTGTTTTCTGGGAATAAAAGTGGATCAGGAAGGTATGTCTTTATACTATCTATATAAATTATTTGATGTTCTATTTAAAATTATAAGTTTTTTTTTTTAAATATATGTTTATGTATGTTTAATACAAGGTCTATCAAATCAAATCCTGCAAGGTCTTTAAAATCAAATTCTATACCTTCACCATTCCCTGAATAATACGATGATGAGAGAGGTTCAGCATTTAATAATACTGGAGGTAAAAAAAAATGTAATTTCAATGTTTTAATGTTTAATTTAAATACCATTTTTTAAATTTTATACATATTTTGTTAGGTGAATCGTTTTCCGGCAATGTGGATTCTAGGAATGGATCAGGAAGGTATGTCTTCATACTACCTATATAAATTGTTTGGTTTTTTATTTAAAATTATAAGTTGAATGTTTAATACAAGGTCTATCAAATCAAATCCTGGAAGGTGTTTAGAATCAAATTTTGTGCCTTCAACATTCCCTGATATATCTGATGACGAGAGAGATTCAACAGTTATTATTACTGGAGGTAACAAAAAGTGTAATTTTAATGTTTTAATGTTCAATTTTAATCTGATTTTTAAAATTGTATACATATTTTATTAGTTGAACTGTTTTCCGGCAATGTGGATTCTAGGAGGGGATCAGAAGGTATGTCTTTATAATAACTACTTAAATTGTTTTTTTAACTAAATTAAGTTATTAGTATTGTATTAAATGTATGTTTACAGATAATAAAATATATATATATATATATATATATATATATATATATATATATATATATATATATATATATATATATATATATATATATATATATATATATATATATATATATATATATATATATATATACAATAATATTCAGCTATTTATGTTTATAGAGAAGTTAGCAGCATTGGAGTTGCGATTAACAAAACTAGAGGACAGAAAAAAAATTTCAGAAATTGAAAGTTTCATGAATAATGAAGAGATTGTTGTTCCCCCAGGCCTTCTAATGCAAAGTAAAGAAGATTTGGAGGGGCTTAACCTTAAGTTGCAAATGAAATCTGAGATGGCTGTTTATGTAATTAAAAGTTATTTTTTGTTTTATTATGTTCTACCAATCTACAAGATGGATAGTAACTATTATTTTATAAGATCGAATATTTTAATAAGTTTTAAGATTATGCTTAACATAATAACTTTTAAGATTATACTTAACATAATAACTTTTAAGATATATACTATACATAGTAAGTTTTAAGATTATACTAAACATTACGTAAAATAAATTTTATAATACCTTAGTTATATAATACCTGCATTACATTTTTTTTTAGGTTGAATATCTGCGTTCTGTAGGCGGTAGAGTTGAGCGGGCAAAATACGTACGACGAGTGTTGGGAGCTATGTTTTTAAAAAATTTCAGTGTTTTATGTAATCTTAATGGATCCTCGAGTAAGATGATGGCAACTGGAATGGGAAAGATCAAGTTGCGAAGTTATCATTTTGTTATAAAATGCTTAGTTTGTAAGTATTAGTAATTATGTTCATTTCGAGTCTTTAACCCAAGACAACTCTATTATAAGAGTTGCAATATGTTTTAAACACCAAGACAGAATACAATATAATGTCAATACTAATGAAAATTGCCAGTGTTATCATTTGTCGTAAATTTGTATGATATTATTTTTCGTTAGTGTCCTAAACATATTAATGCCACTTGTGACATCTAATTGTAAACTATGATTTACTGTTATGCTAAGCGGTTTCTAAAAAGTATATAGGAGTTCGTCTAATATATATTATATATTAATTTATATATATATATATATATATATATATATATATATATATATATATATATATATATATATATATATATATATATATATATATATATATATATATATATATATATATATATGTATATATATATATATATATATATATATATATATATATATATATATATATATATATATATATATATATATATATGTATATATATATGTGTATATATATATATATATATATATATATATATATATATATATATATATATATATATATATATATATATATTTATATATAATTGTATATATATAAAATATATATATATATATAATTGTATTATTTATTTTAATGAAACTTTTTTTTGAAACTTTTATTTTTTTATTCTTTTAGCGACAGTAAGAATTCAGTATCCAAATTCTAAAAATAAAGATTTTTACCCGATCTTTTCAAGATGGTTTCAAGGAGCGATTGATCAGGGTGATGGTCGAATAAATAGACGGGCGAAGAGCATTCTAATAAAAAATCAGTTGCTTTTAATGAATGAAGAAAATATTTAGTTTTTATTTTATTTTGTAAATTTATAAAAGCTTACTTAACTTGAGTTTTATAATAATTATCTCATTTATCTTAATTTATAATTTTCTAATAAACTGTAACATTTTAAAATACTACCTTATTAAACTAGTGTTTTTACCTAAAACTGCCAATTATAATTTCAAATATTATAACAAAAGGAACTACTCTAAAATGAATATTTATTTGAAGTTTTCTATTTGTAAATAATGATTTTTCTTTAATGTTCTGGAAATAAAAGTATGATGATTAAAAATGTTTATTTTGTGTATTCAACTTAGTTACTTTTAAATAATAAAATGTTTTTGTGTGGGCAGTACTCTTTGATAGATAAAACCTGATACACAACTTTGGTGTAAACCGGACAATCAATCACTATTAAATAAAAACTAGAAGTTATAATAAAGCTTTATTATGAACTAGTACTCAAAACTTGAAGACTTTTGCACTTTCGATTAAAGTCCAAAAGCGAAAATAAATAATTAAGAAAAATATAAAATAGTTGGGCCGTTAATGGTACCAACTGTTAGCCAACTGTTTATTTAGCAGTAAAAAACAGTTGGGCCGTTAGTTGGCCAACAATTGGCAAAAACAGTTGGCTAAGTATTGGTAAAAGCGTAACGTTTTTTCCATGGTACCAACTAAAAAGCCGACTATCGGCCCAACTGTAGCCAATAGTTGGTTAAAATGATCGGGCCAACTATTTGCCAACTATTTAATGTTTACTGGGATGGCATCAATACAAGCACCATATTAAGGTGAAAGTAAACGGAATAATTTTCGGCACTTTTCCCCCCTCAGTTTTTAGTCAAAATTAAGGAAACTTCAAATTGCTGTAAATTATGAACGGCAAGAAATTTTATGAAAAAAAATTACAATCTTTCCTAACATATGTCTGTAAACATTTGTGCCAAGTTTTAAAAATTTTTATGGTATAGGGTGGAGATTTGTGTTTTTTTGTGTTTTTTGTGAAATTTTTACCCTATTGCTGGTTTTGAATATACTGGGCTGTTTCCACTTAACAAAATTAAAAATCAGTTAACAGGCATTAGCTATTTCCGAAACGTTTATTCAACCGACTTCTTCAACGCCATTGCAAACTATAAAGTCTTCAGCATTATCTTTTGAACCAGCAAAAACAGCTTTGAAGTTCGACAAGTACAGAGCACTACGTGAGAGAATTAAAATCTACATGGAGAATGAGCTAAAGTGTTTTTTCAGGAAAAAAAATAGTCTCATGTAAAAAATAGAGAAACCTAATATTTCAAAAGTTGCTGGTCAATGTATTACAGAACACGGTGATGAAAATCATCTCAAAAAAAGAGAAGAAGGTAAGCAAGTTAAATTAGATGAAAAACAAGCTAAAATGTGTGAAACCAAATGCAAACACATAATGCTATTGCCAAACCCTGCAGAAAAAGAAGTAACTAAAAATATAGAACCGATTACATCACCTTCAGCCAAAAGAAGAAAAGTTATTAATTGCAGAAAGTATAAAAAAAAAATTACATTTGGACATGACGTCATGCGAGAATCCAAGGATATCTTGGATTCCAATAATATCTTGGACTCCAAGAATATCTTGGAGTCGGAATCGCGTTATCATTTTTGCTGCGAACAGCTACCATTATAGTTGGATGAAAACAAACTCTCATAACAATCATTTTTTAATTAAATATTAGTATATTATTTAATAATATATTATTATTATTATTTAATAAAAATTGAAATTAGTGGTTGAATCGATAAAGTGATGTTAGTTGAATTTAATTTGAGATTTTGTCTTTTGGTAAATTTGAAGAACAGTTTAAAATGCCCAAATATTGTTGTGCTTTTAGACGTACAAACAATTAAAAAAAAAAAAACATCAAAAGCCAGATATCAAGTTTCACATTTTACCAATTTTTTTTTCAAATTTTTAAATAAAATATATTTTTTTACTTAAGTTAAAAGATTAAATATTTGCAAAGCTATGTGACTTGGAACCTTTAAAAAAAACGTCCCAATTCTAAGGGGATCTAAAGTTAAAAGTAAAATGATCATATTTCACGATCTTTTTGAAGCTAGAATCTAAAATTTATAAGGATTTCTTATTTTACTAAGTACTCTTATCTATATAAAAATCAGCAAAAACTGAGATATATGACCTGAGTTAGGAGGTCTGGGTCTGGAGACATGACCTGGGTCAATTAAATTACCCTAAATTTGTATTTATGGAGACATTGCCTGGGTCACGGAATTACTCTAAAAGTGTATTTTTATGGAAATTATATAATCTATCAAATATATTTTTACAAAGTTTATCAAGTATAACTTAAAATAAAGGTCCACTTTACAAACAAAATGAGAAACTATAACTAGATTATATTTTATAACATTGTAATAATATTATTTTAAATATTTTAAATAAATCTATTTTAAATAAGTTTTATCATATTATTATATATATATATATATATATATATATATATATATATATATATATATATATATATATATATATATATATATATATATATATATATATATATATATATATATATATATATATATATATATATGTATATATATATTTATATATATATATATATATATATATATATATATATATATATATATATATATATATATATATATATATATATATATATATATATATATATATATATATATATATATATATGAATAAATATCTTTACATCATTTATTGACAACATTGTTCTATAGACAGAACGGACAATACAAGACCTTTGTCTTTGGTAATTTTTTTTAATTTAAGGCAATTTGGATGAAACCATTGATCACAACGATCACAACTGACCATATGACCATCACTCTTTGTAGTTTTGCAAACGCAAAACACTCTTTCCTAGTGATCTTGTTGAAGAGTTTTATCTGCAATTTCTATGTGACGTCGTTCATCAGATTTATCTGTGATTTCTAACTTCTTTGTCATTAGTTCTGGTACGATCACATGCTTCCAAAACTTTGTACTATATGCAATCATCTTAATAATAAAATCAAGATCCTTTTCAATTCGAAAAAATAAAAAATGTCTAGAAAATAAAATCACAATAACACACTTCCAATATGAATATTTGAGGCTGTACCTGGCTAAAATATGGATGGGTTCTTTCTAATTTAAAGCTTCTATTGTATTCTTTTACAATAAAATTGTCATTGTTTGTTCATGAAGCTAATCCAATATCTTTAGACTGTATGGAAATTTCACCTCAATGACTTCATACCCACAACATGAACAATGTACAACACCATCAAGAGTACACCTAACCATGGCTTTTCTTGAGAAACTACAAGTCCAAATTTTTTACTTCAAAATCATTGTGAATCGTGATCATTGAGAGACAAAATGATTTACTTATTTATATATCATCAGAGCAGACATTTGCATACTCAGCCAAATCGAATTCTCCTTTTTCTCTTCCCCATAATAATGAAGATGCATTGTTTTAGAAAAAATTTTGTTTTGTAAGTTTTCTAACTAAAGATTTTGGTGAAGTTTGAACACATGCTTTCAAAACATCATTAATTACAGGGCCAGTTATTAGACCTCTGCTTTTCTCTGCTCATGCCAAGATATGGGCAATGACTGATTCCTAGTACTTTCTTCGAAGTATTCCTTTTGTTTAGCGGTAATTTATATTGTATTTGTAAATTATATTGACGTCTTCATATTGAACATATGGCCATTCAGTTAGGTCATCTTTCCAAGTATCTGCAGGGAATTTATATATAAACTGATCAATTCCAAGAATATCAAGTTCATTTTTGTAACGTTCAGCGGCGCAACGATCTAATTTTTCAAAGTATTTGTAAATAGGCATTTTTTTAAAACTCTTTAACTTACTTTACGTTCGATTACTTCACTCAACTGTTCATTTTATTTTACCTTAACTAAGATGGTAACCATTTACACTATTGAAATTACGCATGATCACGTGATATTCCGACTCCAAGAATAATAAAAGTGAAAACATTAAAATTTTTACTAGGAAAATATGTAAAATTTTACAAAAATTTATACACAAGTTTCTTAACAGTCTTTTTACATTGTGTACAATATCTTACATTGCATATTTTACATAAAAATGGTGGATAAAATATGAATATTTAATATGTATATATATATATATATATATATATATATATATATATGTATATATATATATATATATATATATATATATATATATATATATATATATATATATATATATTTATATATATATATATATATATATATATATATATATATATATATATATATATATATATATATATATATATATATATATATATATATATATATATATATATAAATATAAATATATATATATATATATATATATATATATATATATATATATATATATATATATATATATATATATATATATATATATATATATATATATATATATATATATATATAAAGTATATCATATACCCAGTTTTCAACTTTTTATTTCAATATCTGTATCAATTTCAATATATGTATCAATATTAATACGATACTCAATTAAAAATAAGTAATTAAATGTTTAAAAATATATATATAAATTAGCAAGTACCTCGCTATAAGTCGCTTTTCATAAGGTGTTTTTAAAATTCTCCTTGAATCTTTGGGAAGTTCCAAACCTTGATTTGGCAAAATTTCAAGAAGATCAATTACTAATGTACTGGTTCCATTATAAAACAGCACAATGTTGTCGAGAAATGACATTGAATTCAAAGAATTACCAGGATAATTGTTCTATGTATCATTAACAGGTTCTGTATGAGATGTCTAAATCATTGAACTTTTTAGAACTTGGTTCTTGATATAGCAATACTATACTAATAGTATATCAAGTATCTATATACATAGTATAGCATATATTCAGTTTTAAACCGTTTCTTTCATTATCTTTAAAAATTTTATTACCTGTATCAATATTACCACAATTTTCAAGTAATTGATAACAAAAACAAAAATCAGATGCAACGTGTTTATTAGTTGTTGTAAAAAGACTTCTTTTGTAATTGAAAAAAAAACTTTATTAAAAATGCGTTACTTTAAAACTTTTAGAAGTTGTAGCGCTTGCTTGATTTAACTGATTTTTTTTCATTTAATAAAGCATTCTGGAT